TTAAAAATAAAAAATAATAACTAAAGAAATCGAATCACTTTTCTCACTATGCTATCTTCCTTACTTCTACAGAGTTTCCTCTTGGATGAAAGCTGCGGAAATGACAATTGGCCTGTCATGAGGGAGAGGAAGTGGCCTCTAGCTTAATCACCAAGCCCAGAGACACACCCCCGGCCCCAGCACCTCACAAGGACCCAGGGCAAAGGCCCAGCAAAGCCCCTAGTCTCAGGACACTGCTGCCACCGCGGAAGGAGACCAGGCTGCAGACCCGGCTGGGGAGCTGAGGCAGATCCCACACCAGGAAGGACAGCTGCCCTCAGGAGCCGCCCTTCGCCAGGAGACCAGGCAAAGACAAGGTGACACCCCTACTCCTGGATCTCAGTGGCCGGCCCATGGGAGTGGCTCCAAATTTTTTTCATGAAATACATATCCGTACCAGTAAAACTTAAAGACCATATTCGAAATAAAACGTCAGTTAGAACTGGGGGCTTCTGGGTGAATCTTTTTGGACTTAAGTTACATTTGAAAATTTTTTTTTTCTTAACGTTTTTTTATTTTTTTTTATTTTTTATTTTTTTTTGAGACAGAGACAGAGCATGAGCAGGGAAGGGGCAGAGAGAGAGGGAGACACAGAATCGGAAGCAAGCTCCAGGCTCTGAGCCATCAGCACAGAGCCCGATGCGGGGCTCGAACTCACAGACCGTGAGATCATGACCTGAGCCGAAGTCGGACGCTCAAAGGGACGCTCAACCGAGTGAGCCACCCAGGCGCCCCTGACTTAAGTTACATTTGAATGTTACTATGTTTCTCTCAAATAAGAGCTAAAGATACTGGGGCGCCTGGGTGGCTCAATCAGTTGAGCGGTTGAGCAACCAACCAGCTCTTGATTTCAGCTCAGGTCATGATCTCACAATTCACGGGACCGAGCCTGCATCAGGGTCTGTACTGACAGCGTGGAGCCTGCTTGGGATTCTCTCTCTCTCTCTGCGCTTCCCTGGCTCCGGCGTGCACTCACTCTCTCTCTCTCAAAATATATAAACTTTTTTTTTTTTTCTTTAAGTTAAGGATACACAGGGGGCCTGGGTGGCTCAATCGATTAAGCATCCGACTTCGGCTCAGGTTGTGATCTCACAGCTGGTAAGTTTGAGCCCCGCGTCGGGCTCTGTGCTGACAGCTTGGACGGAGCCTGGAGCCTGCTTTACATTCTGTGTCTCCCTCTCTCTCTCTCTCTCTCTCAAAATAAATAAACATTAAAAAACAATTTTTTTAAGTTGAGGATACCTTGCATAAAACTCAAACATTTTCAAACTTTATTTTTTTTTAGTTTATTTACTTATTTTGAGAGAGAGAGAGAGAGAGAGTATGAAAGTGGGAGAGGGCAGAGAGAGAGAGAAAGAATCCCAAGCAGGCTCCACACTGTCAGCACAGAGCCCGATGCAAGGCTCAAACTCCTGAACCATGAGATCATGACCCAAGCAAAAATCAAGAGTCGGACACTTAAACCAGCTGAGCCACACAGACACTCTGATTTTCAAACTTTTTAAAAAGAAATCATTAGAGCCCTTTAATTAAAACAAAACAAAACAAAAAGTTTCCACGGAACAAAATATCCAACAGAAGAGAATGGCCCTGCAGAGCTGAGTGGAGATGGGCAGGAGGACCCCTCCCCTCCCTCACCCTGCTGCACAGCTGCAGGATTCCCTAGGACCCCACATGGAACCACATCTGCCTCACAGGAACCTGGAGCATGGGGAGGGGGAACGCCCAACACAGGAAGAGCAGCTCCAGGCCCCAAACCCCAGGTCAGCGCATCTCTGGTTCCCAAGCAGGTTTTCGGGGTGAGACTCAGCTGTCATGTGGTCTCAGATCCAAGGCCCAGGAGCCCCAGCTCAGGTGGACAAGAACATGGCCAGCTCCCCCTGCCTCAGGGGCTCGCCCAGGCCCAAACCTTACCACGGGGCGGGAGAAGTGGTCCTCGGAAAGGCCGAGATCCATCACTCGCTCAGTGCAGTGGAATTCTGGGTCTCCAGGGGGCAACTCAGGCAGGGCCTCTGGAGTGGGTGCAGGGGTGGAGCACAGCAGAGAGAGAAGGAAAAATCAACCTGCGTTTCCACCAGGAGTAGGCTGGGGTGGGAAAGACCCTTGAGATGGCAGAAGCCCACAGGAGGTGCTGAGGGGAACCAGGCCCTGCCCTGCAGCTGCCCTGTTTGCATTCGCAAAGGCACCCATATCCTTTACAAATAAGAGAGAGCCTTTCCAGAAAATGAGGTGGGGAGACCCTGGGTGGCTCAGTCGGTTGAGGCTGAGCGTCAGACTGCTGATTTCAGCTCAGGTCACGATCCCACGTCAGGCTCTGCACTAAGTGTGGAGCCTGCCTGGGATTCTCCCTCTCCCTCTGCCCCTCTCCTCTGCATGCACACACTCACTCACTCTCTCTTTCTCTCTAAAAGAAAAAATAAACAGAAAAATAAAAAGAGGTGGAAAGACACACATAGTGCCAAGAAGAGGTGTACAAAACAGGATCAGAAAAACACCCTAATTTCTAAGGCATACTTTGCGTATGTGTATATGGGTTGAAGGCTGCTAGATGGTTGAACAACAGAATTCCTAATGGTAGGAGACCTCTGTGTGCGCACGCGCGTGCCCACACACACTCTGGATGCCCCGAGGTGACTCAGTCTGCCGTTCGTAGAGCTCGCACCCTCCTGACCTCCCAAGCTGCTGGCTGGGCCTCTGTTCAGCGCGATCCAACGTCTCCCTGATGAGACCTCAGCTCTGAGCTTACGCTCCAAGTGTTCCTTTAACGAGCATCTGCTATGTGCTGGGCCCTGGGGCACAGCAGTGACAAGACAGTCACAAATCCCTGCCCTCGGGAGTGTGTGCGTGTGAATATTGATTCTGGGGAGAGCACAAGTGGGCGAGGGGCAGACACAGGGGGACAGAGGATCCATAATGGGTTCTGCTGACAGCAGCGAGGCTGATACAGGCCTCGAACTTACAGAGATCATGACCTGAGCTGAAGTCGGACACTCAAGCGACTGAGCCACAGAGGTGCCCCAGGACTGTGTGTTCTCATGGAGGGGCAGAGATAAGTAAACTAAAGAACAGGTGGGAAGTGGTTTGTGCCGTGGACAAAAGGGAAGTGGCCAGCACGAGCCCAGCTCCATGGGAAAGCCAGCGTGCGCCACAAGAGGAACTAGGAAGTGGGGGGCACAACGTGAGGGGTCGGGTTGCCCACGCAGGCCTCCCCCCAGCACCCGCCTTCAGAAGCGAAGTCTGGGGCCTCCTCGCTGGCCCTCTGCTCATGCTGCCTTGGCCCCAGCTGCTTGTTGAAGGGGTTGAGATGGGCCTGCCGGAACCGGGCCAGCTTCTCATCATATTCCATAGCATCCCACCTGCAGAGGAAGAGGGGGGCAGAGACGACCGCCCGGCTCCCACACTCGTTGCTTTGCCGTCCCCTTCCCGAGTTCCTGGCGTCTCAGAGGGGATGCCTGGCCTCCTTCCCCTCCCCAGGAGGGGCCAGGTGGGGCACCCCCACACCACAGGTGCCGTCTGCTGCCCGGCCCCAAGCCAGCTCAGCCCCTTCACCCAGGCCCCACCGGCAGCACCCCCTCAGTAACAGCAACCCACTCGGATCCCGCAGATGACACAAGCAGAGCTAGGACAGGGGGACCACCTACCCGAGGGCACCCCGCCGGTCGGAACCTAGGCCCCTGGCCTCCCGTCGGCCCCAGACGCCTCGTTCATCCCCAGTCCAGCTGGAAGAAAGGCCTGGCTGCCCCCGTGAGACACCACCTCCCAGGACCCGGTTCCTTACTTCCGGCCCCAACCAGACGTGCTCCCTTTCTGTCAGAGCAACCCAAAACCACAGCCCCTGAGCGGAGCCACCGGTGAAGACTGCCAGAGGTCACAGTGCTGTACCCTCTGGAGCCCAGAGCCCAGGCCTGCTCGGCCACCCGCAGCGTGGCCTTGGGCAGGACCCACCTTCCCGGGGCCCTCGGAGCTCCAGCTCTCTGCTGGAGACCCCGGCACGCCCACAGCCGGGCCACGTAGAGGCTTAACTTAAGTCACGTAGAGGAGACCTCGGCATCGCTCGTTAATCATCATGTCAGCAAGGGTGGCACCTCACTGGCCTGGATTCCCACCGAGGCTCCATGTGGCCTAAGTCAGGACATGGCCCCACACCCTGGGCTCCCAGGAAGGGGGAGGAAGTTCTTAGTTCACCACCTGCTGCTGCTTCCCCTCCCGAGGGCTCAGTCCAGAACACACAGGGCTGATGGCCTCCGACAGGGAGAAAGGGGCTTTGGTGAGGTCAGGGGTTTCCTTCCTAGGTGGGGCCACATTCCTTAGCCTCTCCCTGCCTCCAGGGTGACGGCAAGTCAGATGTTTTGCAAAACAGCTTTGTAGAAAGTGACAGTTATTAGTTGCTTTCTTCATGCCATTTAGTCTGAAATAACTTGCGATTATCAAGGATAATCCTGTGACCCCTATCTGCACCCCCTGCAAAAGAAAGAGAACTGAGCCCAGACAGATGGCCTTGGTAAGTCACCCCCCACCCCTGCCCAGAGCTGGCCGCTGTCCTGCATCTGGGTCAGAAACGCCCACACTGTGAGACCTGTCCTGCCTGTTTGGCCTCTGGAGGGAGGATGTGGGTCAGGAGTTCTGGTCCGGCAGAAACCGGCACCCACTGACTGGCTGCCCCTGGGTCAAAACACGGGAAATTACAGGTGCCATGGGCTTAAGCCTCCTCTCTCTTGTTACGTGACAGCTTTGGGTGGCTCACACAGGGTGGTTGGGCCCCCATGCCTGGTGCCTCTCCAAATGGCAGGGGCCACAGTGTCCTATGAAGCAGGACTCTGGGGTGCAGGAAGGGCCATACTCCTTCACCTCTTCTCCCCATGCGGTGACAAAGATTCTTTACTTGACCAGACTTGAGTCAGGCTCCCAAAATCTATCACAGGCCCACCTGTGCCCTTCCTATAAAATCCAATTTTAACAAAACCCTGCTGTTTGAGTTTAGCACGAGTCCCCCACTCTGATGCCTGGTCAGCCTCACATCTGGTATCACCCCCAGGCGACATCTGATCACCCGGCTTGCCCTCAGCAAAGATCCTGTCGGGTGGGTTTAGCCAGAATCCTCCCCTCGCCCCTGACGTCTCCCCCGCATTAAGTTTCCACGCAATGATTTTAAGCTGCTCCTTGGCTATAAACTCCCACTTGCCCATGCCGTATTCGGCGTCGAACTGGGTTCAAGACCAACGGCTCTTTTCCCCTACTGCAAGAGCCCTCAATAAAATCTGTGTTTACTATTTTTAACAACTATCCAGGTCTGTGTTTTCTTTGACTGTGGGGGAGCTAGATTTTTGGCTTAGCATCCCTACAGCTAGATGTGCTCAT